CAATTCAATTCCTCTTTAAATTACGCGTTAAAAAATTAAAAAAAAATTTTTTTTTGTTAATGTCTACCAAAAAACCTTTTTTTCAATTTTTTGTAATTAATAAATTTTTTTGATAAAAAAAATTATCAATTTCATCAAAAATTACTAGAGATATAGCCGTAATAAAAAAAATACTGTTGTAAAATAAGAAGTATGATTAATGAAATTTTCTAATTAAAAATTGGGGATCTACTTTAATAAAGGACAGTTAATATAAAAAAAAAAAAATGATGACTCACATGATGTGAGAAGAAAATTGATAAAATATACAATTGTTTTGTTGAGTACAAAGTTAGAGAAGAGGTTTGGGTATACCATCCGGTATCATGGCTCTGTGACCCATTTTGTTTGTTTCTTATTTGGGTTAGTACGCCCTTAATTTCCGGAAACACGAATCGCGTGATAGACATTTACTATTTACCATGGGTATTAGTTCGATGAATAGTAATTCGGCGTAGTAATCCCATTGTTACGCTCGTTTTCTTTATCTGCAGCTGCCTATGGCTAATAACACCTGGGATACGTCGATGTATCCTTTATTTTCACTCACTCTATTAAATTGGCCCTCTCGAGCTCGAGAGTAAAAACAGTTTGAATTGGAGTTGCCCGTAGATTTTTTACGCTTCTTTAAAAACAATCAATCAATAGGAAACCAACGTTTTATCCATAAACCACTTCAATTGTTATGTATAGTTAGTACTAGCAGTAGCAGTAGCAGTAGCAGTATACTACCGAGCAGCAAGGGCATTTATTCAGAAATAAATTAATTACACGAGGATTCTTTTATCTGTATCACGACTGTGGGTAAGCTCAGCTTTATTTATGCAGCTTCGCCGTTCACCGTCGAATGTGCTGCTCTTACACCAATGCAAATATATACGCTGACGAAAAAAATCCAGATCTCCCCTCGTAGAATGTTCTTGAGCGGCCGCCTATCGATTTTCCAACCCTTCCTGATATTTACTCATTCAATATTCACATTTTACTTATTTTCAGTTTCATTGCTATTTTTTTTTTGACTGAAAAAAATCAATGACTCACACATAGCCTGTTACGAAAATTGACAATGCCAGGAAAATATTTTACAGGTTGTTAAATTCGTGTGAATAATATACAAAAAAATTTTCCCTAAGTGTGTAATTAGACAAAAAAATAATAAAAACACAAAAAAATCTGATCCACTTGAAATGAAAAAGACCTCAATAAATTAATTATCCCCATCATATATTATGTTACCCTCGTGTTATTTTGTCAGTAATTCAGTCTCCCCATCCCCTGTTGCTGGATTGGGTACGGTGTCTGACGTTATATTCGGCGCAGTGTCAGGATCGGGAGCACCCTCTACTCAGTACATTTTTACAGACATACAGACATTCAAGCATAGAGACATCTAAGCACACGTACAAGGTTGTGTATAAGTCGAAATACTTTCCAACGAAATATTTCCAAGAGAAAATAAGCTCGTAAAAAGAAGTTGAAATGTCATATATAAGTGGCTCAAATAGTCACCCAACGTCAAAAAATGCTCTCTCTGATCCAACTTATACTCTCTCAATTGCCGTCTATAAACCCGAAAGTTCATTCTACACATTTTAGAGTTTACGATCGACGGGGATAAAAACTAAAGATGAAAAATATTTTTCCCTCCCTTTATTTCATATATATATTATATATATATATAAACATGTACATTAACTTTGATGGCTTCATTGAGAATGCAGCGAGACGTGATAAATGCTCTTGATTAAAAGTTGTAATAATTTTTTTATTAAACTTATTACTCGTTATTTTTTATGAGGCTCACTATCGTTTCGTTATTATTATTTATTATATTTATTTATCGGAATACGTGTTGACGAAATGAAATATAAATACAATGGTGAATGACGTTATTAGCTTTAGTCTCAAGATTAGTTAACTTTATTGTCAGTATTTTCTTTTAATTTATTTTTTTTTCCTCTTACTCTGGCTCTTCTGTTCTATTCTGTTTTACTTTTACTTGAGGTACGTGCTTGTTACATGTAATAGCCGTCTTGTTTTCGGGTGAGTACTTGGATATTTTCTGCAAGAGTACGAGTTTAACAAAAAAAGTCTAGTGGAGTTGAGTTACAATAAATATATATATATACATACATACATAAAGAAAAAAAAAGGGATAGAAGCATTTTTTGAGACCGAGACCGGGACAAATTATTGAGGGGAGAAGAATGAGAGAGAACGAGAAGTAGCTGATTACGACACGAGGCACGAAATGTATGTTCGGCGCTGATGAACAGATGGTTCTCAAAAAAAATTACTAAACAGGAAGCATAGAAGATTCTTATTATTCATCATTTCTACTAAATTTATTTTTAAAACTTTTTTTGTCTAGAAATTTTTTTTTATCTGCGAAATAGTATATTACGACCCAAGGCCAGAAAGTTGGATTTCCTGGCGTATGGGATATGATGGCCGAGGCTATCATATCACATACGTCAGGGCATCCAACATTCTGGTCATGGGTTGTATACTATTTTTCTTGCTCTCCAGCCGAAAGTACGCAACCCCGTGGAAGGGATTTTGCAAAACCGAGGCGAAGCCGAGGTTTTGCCGGGAGTGAGGGGGGCGCCGCCCGACTTTTGTAAAGCCGAGGCGAAGCCGAGGTTTTACTGGTCGGGGCGGGCATAATAAAAAAGTTAAAATTAATAAATAAAAGAAAAAATAAGTTATTTTAAAGTTTACTAACAAACGCTCTGATTAAGAGAGATAACATGCACAGAACTTGTCACAAATATTTAAACTCGATTTAATAACAGAATTAATTTTTTTTAGTTGATTAAAAATTAGTTTTTAATTAGACAACTAAGAAAGATTGAAATTAAATTATTAGAAGCTTGTAGAGTACATGGGTTGTTTTATAAACATCTCTTTACTAGCTGTCAAAATATAAAAGAAAGCAAATAAAATCTACAAAACTTGTATATTTTATTTTTTAAAATTTTTATATAAATTATTTGTGCAGTATAATAATACTATTATTAAATACTATTACTAAATAATAATACTAGTATTACTAAATAGTTCATTAACAATAATCTAGTTGAAAATTACTTTTATTTATTTGACATTTTTTGGTTAGTTTATGCGCTGACATGTCACATATAGACGATGCTGTGACTGTTATATACAGTCGACACTTGCTCTATAAAGCCCGTTCTGTGCTGCCGGCCAGAAAATATACGTAGCGCGCATGCGTAGAGAGACTAGAGATCAGGCCATAAAAGTTGCTCTTCCTAGAGTAAAGTGCGTCCAGGATGAGCGTACTTTCGGCGAGGAGAGTAAGAAAAAATTTTCTGATGTATCAAAGTAAACAATGAATTTTTCTTGCTCTCCTACCCGAAAGTACGCTCTTTCTGGACACAGTTTACTCCAGAAAGAGCAAAATTTGTGGCTTGTTTTGGCGCATGCGCGCTACGCATATTTTCTGGCCGGGCAGCACAAAACCTCGCTTCTTTTCATATTTTCGTGGCGTGAGTTTCAACTGTCTAACAGTCACAACATCACAACATCGTCTGTATGTAACATGTCAGCGCATAAACTAACCAGAAAGTGTCAAAAAAATAAAAAATAATTTATAACTAGATTATTATTAATGAACTATTTAATAATAACACTACAAATGATTCATATAAAAAGTTTATATAAAATAAAATATAATAGTTTTGTGGACTTTATTTGCTTTCTTTTATATTTTGACAGCTAGTCAAAACTCGGCTACGCCTCGGCCATCATATCCCATACGCCAAGAAATCCAACTTTCTGGCCTAGGGTTGTAATATACTATTCATAAATTTTCATATATAAATGTCATGATAAGCTTCTTAAAAGTCACAAAATAATTTTTTCTGCCCTCCGGCCGGAAAGTGGCAACTTTCTGGCCGCTGCGCTAAACAAAGTTGCCACATTCCGGCTACGTCGAGCAGAAAAATAGTATACACACCTTGGCCAGTAAAAAGTAAAGCCTCAGATCACATGTTTGTCAACCTCGGCTTCGCCTCGGCCAACAATTACATGTGATCTGAGACTTTTCTTATTTTACTGGCCTAGGTATGTAATATACTATTTATTTTAGAAATTAATTCTTAAAAATTTAACTCTCCTCTAACGAGGAAGTTTAACAATAATGCGCCACCTCTCGGATATTTTCTAAACTATCTTTGATTGAAAAATTATTTATGGATATAACAGGCCCCATATGGCTGATTTTTATATCAGGTTATCAAAAAATCAAAAAAATTTCTTCACTGATTGATAATTATTCTATTTTAAAATCAAATATAATAATTTTAGATGTGATCACAAATGATATAAGTAAGAAAAAAATTGACTATTTGATTCAATTACTCCTAGTCCTTCGGCTGAAGAGGGAAGTCCGTATGCACTTTTAGGTCCCAGGATTCTGATAACTGATATTTACGTATTTTATTGCTAAGAATTACGAAAAACTAGGTTGTTTTGCTCGCCGATGGTAAATTTAATTGTTAATGATAATTTAATTTTTTAAACTGCTATAACTCAGGAACGGCTGATTTGACTATCAATATACATGAAAGATATTTGAAGTTTATGCTTTACAATCGATCGAAAAATTGCGGTTAAACTTTTTGTTGACGTATTATTTATTATAATATCCACTTGTTGCTTGTTTTCTTTTAAACAATCGAATTTCTTTTCAATTAGCTGACATATTTTTATTTAAACGTCTGAATTTTCAATCGTCACATTCCGGTGAAATAAAAGCTTAAAATAGCAACTCATCGGGCTGTTTCTCCTTTTCTATGGGCTGAATCAATCGATAATGTGTCTGAAAATTTTCTATTGAGTCTTTTTCACGATTGAGTTTCTTTTCTTAATCTAGTGGACACCGAGAAATGAATTTTTAAATTCTACAATTATGTAAAATTAGCTGATATTCATCAGTTATGGGGCTGTTTGTCTACGTTCATGGCACCTATCGACCAATTATGGGTCTGAAAATCTTCGGTAAAGTATCCTCTAAATTAAAATACATGATTAGTTTTGAAGTTAGTCAAAGGTCGAAACTCGCAAAAAACGGGCCACGATTCATTATTGGTTAAAATTTAGGCGCGCGCGTAGCGCGCTATTCAAATTTCTTGTACTCTTTAATTTCCATGTGTTTTTTTTTTCTTAATCACCAATGGACACCGAGAAATAAATTTTTAAATGCCAAAATTCAGTCAAATTAGATGAAAATTGCCACTGATAGGGCTGTTTCTCCATTTCTATGGGGGTGGATTAAACTCTTATTGATTTTTCAACACTCTAGAATGTGTTAATGTAAGGTACTTATCACGATCATCTTTCATTTTTTGCTGGACACCGAACTTCTAATTTTTTTGCGTCTTTTTTTTTTTTTTTGCTTGTCGTATATGGCGATAGAGTTCGTTGGATGCGTGCGCGCGTCAGAGAGGTCCGACCGCTACTTCTCCTTTTTCGCGATATCTCCGAAAATATTTATTTTATCACAAAATTGATAAGACCATGTTTTGTTCGTTTTTTAATTTTAAACATTTTTTTCAGATATACTTCCCTGTCAAATCAGCTGTTTCTGAGTTATAGCGGTTTAAACAATTAAATTGTTATTAACAATTAAATTTACCATCTGCGAGCAAAATAACCTAGTTTTTCGTAATCATCAGCAAAAAAATACGTAAATACCAGTTATCAGAACCCGGGGACCTAAAAGTGCATACGGGCTTCTCTCTTCAGCCGAGGGATTATCCGTATTTGAGAGAATATAGCTAGTCGTTAGCGTTAACAAAACCTGAATCGCGAATTTAGTTGATGAATAACGAGCACAAAGGCGTTGATTGTAGAGCTTGAATAAAAATATAATTGAAATAAAAGTAGCCATTAGATGGGTAATCGCCTTATTGTGAATTCACCGAAGATACTCGATAAAATCGAAAAAGCCTTGGTGAATAAATGGAAATAAATAAACGGCAAGTGGAAAAGTTTTCAAGTGTGGGATAACGGAAAAAAAATATAAATAGAGAGAAAGAGTGTAAGAGGGTGGTGAGGCTGTAAATGAGAATGAGGAAAATAGGGTTGTTTCTGCAGGCGAGGAGGGTCACTACCGTGGCGTCATGTATCACTGAAAACGAACCTAAGAATCCATTCAATTGTTTCCACCCTCATTGTTTTATTTTCATTCTTGTCTTTTATTTTTCTTGCATTACTCTTTTTGTCGTGCCTCAATGACAGTTCTCGTGTATACCCTCTCTCCTTTTTCGCATCTTGTTTCGTTTACACAGACTATTGATTTTTTGCCGCTCATTAAATTAATATAAACGCTGTTATCAATGAGAGTCAAAAATTATCTCAACTTTTATTGAATTAATTAATTTTTTATGAAAATAAATTCAACATTTTTTTTCATATTCTTGTAGAATTTTATTTAAAATGCTTCCGCGGTATTGCAATATGACATTACACGGTAATGTAAAAAATTTTCCGCGGAACCGCAGCATCACCAATGCATAAGATATCTAATGTATTCTCTGTCATGTCTTGTGTGGCTTCAGCGAATGCTTTTTAATATAAATCTTTTTCAGATCACAGAAAAGCTTATTCAAAATAACCGATACGTGTATTGTGGACTTGAAGAGATTGATTCTCGGGGATATTGTCAACTATTGATGCGAAAATCCATAAAAGTTATCCATTACAGGCTACTAGCTATCTCGAAATTGAAACCAGTGATTTTACAGACCGTACGCAATTTAAAATATAAGTTTTTTTTTTTTTTTTTTGAATTTATTGCTATTAAATTGCACACCTCAAACCAATTTTTCTGAAGAAGAAAATTCGAGATATTTTTAATCTATTAAAAAATAGTGATTTTTTTTTTTATCTAAAATTTTAAATGAAAAAAATTAACCAGTAAAAATATTTAATGGAAAAATATTTCAACGGCACGGTGACGAGATGAAATATTGATGTTATTTTCATATCAATGTGATTGAATTTTTTTCCTATTAAATTATTTGAATATTGTAGAGAAAAATGTGCGGAAATTTCACATTATCAGAAGTGATAAAAATAACAAATTTATGTGAGTATAATTAATGCATCGACACGAACTCAAGCGAATCGTATTACAAAAAATATTTACTCTTACAGGAATTATCAGTCACTAAATAAAAAAATTTTTACGAGTAATTTTACAATTATAAAGTTTTTAAAAATATTTTCTTTGGGAAATTTAAAAATTTTTTTCTATCGTAAATGATAATAGATTAGAGTGTTAAAATTTTTCAACGTTCAGAACAATATGAGAATTAATATTCACCAAAGCTCTTCATTATTACGACGACGGTGACATTAGGAGACGAAAAGGAGGTGAAAGAATGAAATAATTTCAGTGAGAGTAATAAAAAAGGGCCATTTATTTAGTAACTTTTAACGACACTCGGCTAGAAATAGGCGTAAATAATTCAGAAGTAGCGATGCATACTTAATATCGAAAAATGAAAAAGAGGAGTTGAATTAAGGGTAGATACTTTTACTTACGAACTAAGACACAATGAACACTACCTGCAGTGCCAGAATAGTTTATTCATGGTTTTGTTTTAAAACTTTATGTATTCCATCATCCCCATCATCTTTACTTCATCAGTTTTTTATAGAGAAATATTCTATTTCTTAGAGAACGCCCATGATGATATAGTGCAGCCGAAAAAGTATAAAAATAAATACATGAAAGATCGACGATTGCTGCTGTATTTTTTCTCGAAGATTTATTTCATACTTTAATATAAAATTATAAATTTCCATTAAGAGCCGATTAATTATTCAAATTCACTCTTTAATAATAAAAGAGTTCATTTTTGATGCTATAAAAAATTAAATTAAAAATTTATTACAAAATTCAGCTCCAAACCATTTAACTCTTAACTATTAATAAAATTTTTTTTTCATGCAAATCAGCTATTTTTGCATATAAACACTATTTAAAACAATAAGCTCGAGCCTTAATTAGCAAACTTTAGATCTGACTCATCGAATGACCGTACTTATCAAGTTAAGACTTAAATTAAAAAATTATCAACTGGCATTAGAAAGACTCACGTTATATTTAAAATTAGTACGATTCCACGGAGGGTGGAAAATAACTGTCTTGGTAGAATATTATTAGTACCATCAAGAAAGCTTGGTAGTTTTTGTAACTTCTATAAAGTTATGAAACTACACCCTTCTGAACTATCCGCACTATAATTAGTTCTGTAGCTTCGAATCGTGATATTTTATTTATCATTATTCTAACTTATTCCGACCAATCCGCGAACTGGCCGTACATCGTCGGAATATTATTCGATGAAATAATAGTGACTAGAGTACATGTGCATTTTTTACGTAATTAAAACTTTATTTACCTCATAATTCTTCGCAGTATTATTCGCTTAGTTTAATTTAACTGTAATATGTAAGTAGGTTGAGTTGTTGCTTTATTGGGGCTAGTAAAATGAAAGGGTTGAAAATACTTGTTTAAAAATATATAATAGAAAAGCCAAGTCTTGATATAATTTAAAAATAGCGATTGTTAGTTTTAGCTCACCATATTTAATAACAATTATTATTATTAATATAAAAAATCTAATAAATGTTAATTAATGTGTTTTAAAATGACAAATCCAATTTTTACAGAGAATTAATTTGCTACAAAAAAATAGTTGGTAATTTTTTATCTTCAATGTTTAAGCCAGAATTAAAATTTAAAACCTTAACTTAGGGGAGGGGGGGCAAAATGGGCCCCTAGGGACAAAATGGGCCCCCTAAAATTTTCAATATCCAAAAATATTTGGAGGCAAAATGGGCCCCCAATATTTTCAACTCTCGAAGTGTTTGGGAGGTATAATGGCGATGTGTGCGCGCGCGCGCGCGCGCGCGCGCGCGCGCGCGCGTGTGTGTGTGTGTGTGTGTGTGTGTGTGTGTTTCGTGCATGAACATAAACCTCTCATAACTTTTAAACGGCTCGACCGATTCAAACGGGATAGACAGCAATCGAAAGAGTTTCTTTGCCCCTAGATATTTTAAACTATTTAAGGTAACTCGGGCCAATAGATTTTAAGTAATCTCGAAAATAAAATTTTCAGGAAATGTTTTTTTTTTTTTCAAATAAATTTTAATAATCTGCTGAATCAATCGTTTTCAAAAACTAATCAGCCCTTAAGCCCAAAAAACTGCGTCGATCGCCGTCAACGCGACCAAAATCGCTCGATTCGTTTGTGAGGTATCCTGAACAAAAAATTTGGGAAAAGTGTTTTTTTTTCTTACATAACTCCGACATTTATCCCTGGATCGTTTTTGATTCAACGAGATGATTTTTAGAGCTTAAAAAATCACTTCAATCGCCGCCAATAACGTCAAAATCAATTGACTGGTTCGAAAGATATTTAATTTAAAAAAATTTTTAAAATTATTTTTTTAACACCTTTGAAATTTCACGTCCGATTGTTTGGTTGGCGATAAATAGTATTTTTGTTCTATAAAGACTGCATAGAATGCCTTTAATTTTTTTTAAATCCGTTAATTCATTTGTGAGATATCGTTATCAAAAAAAATCTAAAAAATTGTTTTTTTTTTATACATTTTTATTGGCTTCACCTATCGATTCTAAAAACTGATCGGTTTTTAAGCTTGGAAATTCACGTTGATTGCCGTTAACGCGATTGAAATTGGTTGATTAGTTTGAGAGATACCGTTGTCGAAATAATTCAAAAAACGCGTTTTTTTTAAATCACTCCAACATTTTTTACCTGATTTCTTATTGCTTTTGGCGTGAAATGTAGAGCGCTTAGGTATGCAGTTAGCGGAAAGTTGCAGTGATGGCTTTTAGGGTCTACTGTTATCCTAATTTTTTATACTGAATACATAAAAAAATTCAAAGTACAAAACAAGTAAGAAACATATTGAGTTTTTTGGGGGGCCCATTTTACCCCACTTTTCTCAATTTTTTAATTTCGATGTACACAAAAAAATTAATACCATAAACTCAGTAAAAGGCCAAAAAAAGTAAAACGAGCTGAAAAACTCATATTATAAAAATTTTCTGAAGGTGGCCCATTTTGCCCCACATTTTCAATTTTTTTTTTTTTAATGAACAGAGCAAATTGAGGTCAAATACTTGGCAAGGGACTAAAAAAAAGTAAAACCAGAGAAAAACACTATGGATATCAACATTTTTTTCTTAAGGGGCCCATTTTGCCCCCCCCCCCTCTCCCCTATGTTCATTAATCTTAATTAATATAATTTTTATTATGAATTTTTTTAGCATAGTAATTTTTTTTGAGAACAATCCAAACCACCAAACTTCGACGGAATGCCATAAATTTTTCAGTCTGTAATTAAAAAACAACATAGAAATCAATAGCTAGCTCAAATCTTTCCCTGCATCTAATAATTTTACAGAGATTAACACATAATGTACAACTATCGATTCCGATCGAAAGTAGACGGAAATAATCCTCCTTACAACTCGGGCGATAACTCGCGGTCTAACAACGAGAAAACGTGTGACTTGATCTGTGAGACACCCGTATAGTATCTCGATTTAAATTTTAAAGGAGACTAGAACGAACAGTCGTAAGCGCAACTCTCTTCTTAGGAGTTAATGCTAAAACTTTTCTTAAACCCGAAAGTTGGCTCGGTTCTTTATATCTTTTTTACCACTCAGTATTTCATTCCTCTATTTTGAGTTCACCAGCACTAGCATACCACCCAGTCAGACTCCTGCGCATTTACAACCGAGATAATCCGTTGATAATCCACAGACGGTTATTTCCTTCCTCTCGAGACACCTCAACCCATATCAAACCTATCCGCCTGAAACTTGCCTCTTCCCAGTCTCGTCTCTTCTCAGCTCTTCTCATTTATCCTCCAGCGTAATACTTAACTTGTTTGAACGAAAATCTGACTCGCCGAAAAGTTATCTAAGCGAATTCGGGACAGATAATGGGATCGAGATCGGTTTCAATGCTTGTGGGATTAAGTTTTGTGGGCTACTGCTCCCAATAGTCGGTTTCGCACACTTGTTTTTCGGTGTTGACTTTAAACTTTGTTCTCGGAGGGAGCTGCAAGAGACGCTGATTGATTTACTAACTAAATTAATGGTAATGATCATCAAGACATTGACGGACGTCGGTTCATTTATTTTCACTAATGGTATTATACATCGAATAAAATTTTCTTTAGTATTAAAAAAAAGTTTTTTTTTAATAATAAAAAAAAATGTATAGTGTGGAAATTTATTGTCATTAAATACACTGGAAATAGTTGCAAAGAAAAGGTTTAAAAATTTTTTTTCATCACAGAACACTCTCTAGTGTTTGGCATTATGAGGCGTGCAATATCAATTAACAATAATTATTTAAAAGTTCAAAAAGTTCCAACGGTACAACACATTAGTAATTTATTTTTATCGTTCTGAAATAATTTTAAGTGAAAGCGTGGTACTTTTCTCTACGTACTATTAACCTACACACTCACCCTCTGGCCTCTTCAACACATAAAATATTTCGACACTTTAATGGCTAATAGCTTTTAACGGTACCACTATTGATGATCGTATATACCATACCTTCTTGCATTACTTGGGCCACGTTCGAGGTCACTGCCGTTCAATTAAATCCGCCGATATTTTTAATGCCAATATGTCGCCAATACGTCGCCCTCCACCACGACAGTTAATACTGTGTAATAAAAATATATTGAGTTGATCGCGGTGTAATCCATTTTGATAGATTATTTTTAAAATTTACCCAACATCAATCCCATTTATTTTAACTGAACTAAGCGTACCAATTTTAAAATAATCCATGACACTCATTGCCGGCGTTAAATCACCGCTTACAATAATTAACAATTAGTCCCGACGGTGGTACCAATTTAATTATTTATTACACTACATTACGTATGAATATAATGAGTGAGTGACGTTCCCGTTAATAGAGACAGATTAACTTGGCACATGGACTCTGATGCGAGTTATGTAACAATTAATGTTTCTGCGTGTATTAATACTATTACTAATAATTTACGTGAGTATTTATTGAAATTGGGGAGATGGGAGATTGATCGTGACAGTATTACATGATTAATCAAAAACACCGAGATCCACCGGCGTGATTAGAGAGCTAGTGCTGCCAAAATCCGAATAGAGAAGAGATACCAATAAAAAATGGATAGAGAAAAATTCTGAAGGAAGATAAGAGAGAGTTGGGGCTGTAGAGTGAGCTCGCCGATATAAACTAGACAAATTGTTTGCAATAACTGTCAATGGCGGTCAACGACATTATTTCAGTATTTCAGACGCGCTCCGTGTCGTCTGGGAAAATAATGTTCGACCTTTTTTTTTTTTTTTTTTGCCGAGCCAGCAAATCATATAACAATCAATATTAAGCTCTTGCTTCCATTTCAATGCTTCTTATTCATAATTTTTTAGTTTTCTGAAGCTTTTTAAATTTATCGGGAAAGAATAAGAAATTTTTTATTAAATTATGGATTTTAGATATGTTACGATAAGTCTGAAAACATTCGGATTAATAATACAATATATATTTGAATTTTTAAATAATTATTGACATTAATAATTCTGATAAATTTTTAAAGATTAAAAAAAATAGTCAACATACTTAAAATTAATTTAGATTTTCTTGAAATTTTTATTAATATTAATCATAAAAAATTCCTGAGTGAAAAACAAAAATATTGATACCACATTTTTGAATATTATATAGTAATTAATCAACATTATATAAGTCTATCAAATTAAATAAAATATCTCATTAAAACCTTCACCACTAAATGATTAATTTTTAAAATATATCATAAAATAAAATTAGTTTAGTTATCGAGCGTTTAATTTCAATCAAGTAATAAATATGAATAATTTTCAATGATACAAAGCTTAATTTATTATGCAAACTCATATAGATATCCGAGTCCAGTAAAATATCTATTAAATTCGGTTGTAAATAATTTAACCGACAAAATTTAAATCAATAAAATAATTATTTGATCATTAGTTAAACTCTCTGTCGAGTGAAATTAATTTTCCGCATATAATGATACATTAAATTACTCACTAAATTCCCGAAATTACAAATTTATTTTTACTGTCAGATTTAATTAAATTTCGTCTTGTATTGGTATCGCACAACCCAATAAATAATACACCAGCAATTTTTCAGTTCTCTCATCTCATTTCACAGCACGACATTTTTTCATTATTGCTCTCATTTATTCTTGCTGTCTATTTCACATTTGGAAAAATCTATGCTTGTCAATTTTTTTGGTTGCGTTGTTACATTCTATATTGTATATGTACTATCCGTGGAATGCAAGTTAAGGGAGAGAACCATGTTTGTAGAGGATAAGGCTACTAGACTATATACATTGTTGGCGATCTATAGATCCAAGTAAAGCAAGAGGACAATACTCTTTATCTCTACATTCACTCTATTTCTACTCCCTAGTGCTATACTGTGTATAATACTCGCTATACTCGTAATTTCTTTTCCACCCTTGTATCTGTTATAGCATCCGCATGAGTCGAGTTTCGCTAAGAAGCTATTCAGTCAACGAAAAATAGGGGCTCTCGTATGGAATGAAAACAAGTTTATTATCGTGCTTGCTCTCTGGGAATTTTAAAAACTTGAAATACGCAAAGGAGCCTCTACTCAATGGAAATACATCGGGTCTTCTCTGCTACGGAAAAGGCTGATAAATAAATCCTACCTTTGAACATCAATCTTGAAACTTATTTTACAATATATATATATATATATATATATTGTAAAATAAGTTATACTACGTTTACTATCTGAATTATATTTTATACCTTTATCTCAACCTTTATCAGCATCTTTCACAGTTTACCGTTTTCAATGCATAGAAAAATATGTAACATAATTAAATACAGACAAAGATTTTTTTTGTTATTTTTCAAGAAAATTCAATTTTTTCCGTGAAAAAATTTTTTGATAGAGGCATATATAAATATAGATGCGAATTCTATGTCCGTATATGCTGAAAAAAAAATTTCTTGAAAATATGAGCTTTATTTTTATTCTAGCATAGTAAATTTAAGATTTTTTTTTTCATATTTCTACAAAAAAAAAAAAATTAAAGTCCTAAAAAGCATAATTTGACAGATATAGAACACTTTTTTAATTAATTAAAAAAATTAACAAAATTTGTCACTTGATCATTATTTTCTGGACATATATAAATAGTATTTTTCTTACCCAGGGCAGGAAAATAAGAAATGTCTCAGATTACATGTAATTGTTGACCGAGGCGAAGCCGAGGTCGACAAACATGTGATCTGAGGCTTTCTTATTTCCTGCCCGTGGTGAGAATTAGTATATTACACTACAAGGGCAGAAAGTTTGAGATTCCTGCACTGTGCGCCATGATGCCCGAGGCGAAGCCGAGGGCATCATGGCGCGCAGTTCAGGGCTCTCAAACTTTCTGTCCGTGTGGTGTATACTATTTTTCTTTATTTTCGGCCGAAAGTACGCTGACTTATAAATCAATTAACGTTACAGTTAAATGTTCTTAGTATGTTGTCGATGCCTGCCCGACATTTGCGGCACGAGCGAAGCGAGTGCAGCTGGTCGGGGGCGGGCATCGACTACATCTAAATAGACAAAAATAATAGTAACTTTTTAAAATTAAATTAGTTCAATTGAATAGTCTTATTTTTATTAATTTTTGATTACTCAAATACATTAAAATCATTAATTTAATCAGAATTTTAATTATTTCGAGTAATTTGTGAACTATTTTTAATTAATTATTGCATATTTTCTTTTTCATCACAACTATTATCAGTACATGAACAATAAAAATTATAAAAATTATTTATAATGAATGAAAAAAAATGATTCAATATTATTTGATCTTCCCATTTGACATGTTCGTCAATAAAAATATTAATGAAAATTAATTATTAAGATATTTAATTTTTTTGAACAAGAGAAAAATTTTCTCAAGACAAGAAAATTTACTTCTGTCAAGAACTTAATTTTTTGGAACAAGAGCGAAATTTTCTCAAAACAAGAAAATTTTCTTGATTTAAATAAATTGTCTTGGATCAAGACACGTATTTCTTGAAGCAAGGGAATTAATTTTGTTGGAATAAGTGAAATTTCTTGTGTCAAGAAAATAATTAGGAAGAAAAATATTTTCTTGGTTCTAGTGAACCTTTCTTTCTGTGTAAATATTTATCTGCAGACTTTTTAGGTAACGTATCTGTTCTTATAATTCTTATAATTCTTATTATTAGATTAGCTTCCGTATCGAAATTTCTTAAAATTTCCTTTTGATGATGATAACGCATTGATTTTTTAAAATTTTTATTTTTTTTCACTCAATATAATTTTTTAGATTATAAATTTCAACACACAACGACGTAAGAACCCACAAAAGCAATTTTAAGGTTAGGCCTGAGTGCACAATAAACCGCGTCAGCTCTGGTGAATGCTTTTTTCTCGCTGCCTCGTACATCAATTCAGTGCACCACTAGTTTCTTCCAGCGCACTAGAGCAGCGCGCATGCGCGCCCCTACCAAAGCATAAATGTCGGTCTTTCTGATTCCCAACAGATGTAGCAAGTACGTGCTTTCGGCCGTGAATAAAGAAAACTATTTTTCTCCTCGACGGAGGCGGAAAGCGGCATTTTCGTTTAGCGCAGCGAGCGGAAAATTGACGCTTTCCGCACGGAGAGGAGAAAATTTTTTTTTCACGTGTTTAGATTAAAATATTTTGTAACAATTATTGGAATTTTATAAAAACACATTGAATGTTATTTTATAGAAAAAAAATTTAACGTTCAAAAAGTAATAAAATAAAAAGGATACCTCAGCAAATAACCCATGTGATGCGAAATAATGTGTATACGATACGTCGTAAAATAATAAACTAAATTCAGTGAAACGATAGTTGGGTTGTGTATAATATAAACCTATGTATACACGATCCATAAGTGCCTAAAAGTTATTATTACTTTATGTTATGCTCAGTAATATCACTGAATTTAACTATTTATATGTTTACATGAGCTGAGTAAACCGTGAGTAAACAACTTCGAGCAATGAACTAAAAACTACCGCTCTACTAAATTTTATATTTTCATTTATACGCCATTCCTTGTGCCGGACATTGAAAAGATCGGTGATTTAATATATACGAGCTGCTACAATACGAAATTTATAAAAATAAAAATCAAAGGTTAACTTAGTTCCAAAAAATTTTCCCTTATTTTATTTATCGTCATTAATGATCGGATCGACGATAAGGTTGTAGTTGGTTTAATATTTATTGAAATATTAAAATAAGAAAGTTAAATATTAAAATGTAGTTTTTGAGCAGATCCCAAAGAACGTGTTGAGAAAGTAGCTGGAAGTAAATACGGTTCATGGACACACGTCAGACTTGATGTTGTAAAAAACGACGAGGGTCGGTTGACAACCTTGCGTTATCGTTGATTGTTTCACTGGGCTTGCTACGACACACAACGATACAACGTTCAATGCTTGGAAACTTTTATCTACTATTTGCAATATTAATATCGGCTTACAGTTGTTTTTTTCACTTCATTCATTTAAGTTGATAAAGACTCCTGAAACTCCTTATAAATAATTCAACTGACGTGCACACTTTTGTCAGAAATTGATTTTATCTACAGCTAAAACACGCCAAGTTCACAATTATCTCGTGAATAAATTAACGGGGCAAATACTAGTGAGAATTATTTTTCTTTTTTATTTTTATTTTTGACTTTTTAATCAGCCAGTAAATTTGATACGTAAGGTTAAAACTCAATAAGAAATATTATATCTTAAAATTTTAGCTAATCTCAATATTTTATTCATTCAAAAATTGAATTTTTGTTTTTTTTTTTTACAATTTATCAATAAATCCTACTTAATTTAATAATCTTTTCTTTGATTCTAAATGATCAATTTCTCCAAAATAGTTTTTTTGGCTAAAGAATTTTTCTCTTAAATGAAATTAATTTCTTTGTCAGCATATTACTCTAATTAATAATTTAACGGGTGGTCTTTTGAATACGAACGACTATAAGAAAAATTGGGTGAATATTACAGCATAAAATATGATTTACAGACCTTTGAACTTGTCTAATAGTTGTTAGCTAAGTTTTTGCACTTCCCAATCGATATACAAAGTACATGCATAACAAAACAAAAAAGTAATAAATATTTGACTCGCTAATTACTTGAGAGCTCTTCTAAATACATTACTAACATAAAGTTTAAATCTAGCTTGGGAACTTCTGAATATTCATTTCGTTGAACATATAATGTTTAATATTGTTTAACATGTCGAGCAACTCTCAGCTATTATACTGCCAAATTTCAGTAAATTAAGTCGACAATGATGAGTATCTTGTTTATGATTTCAATATTAATATATTTCGGAGTTTCGGAGAAAGCCTAAGACATATATGGATCTAAAGTTTGGTAGCATGGAGAAATTTGATATTATTGTCTACAATTTTAAAATTAGTTTGAATTATCTGAAATGATGGTAGAATTTTTAAGTTTTAAATTGGTTAGTGTTGTACAATTGAAGCTTGATAATTAATTAAAAAAAGCTTCTATATGCAAGCTATGATTACTATAGTATTTTCTTCCGTTTTATTCTGGTTACAGAATTTTCTTTAATCGAAGAAATGAAAATTTTTCATTTACACACACATGTACATCCATTTAAACAGATTATAAAGTCGATCAAAAAATAAACAACTGCGACTTGTCTGACCCTGAAATAAAATTGCTTAGAATAATCGAATTAATAAATAAATAAATACGACACGATGGAATCATAATATAAAAATAAACATACTTTTATAATTCTTAATAATTGGAAAAATATCTTCATTTAGAATCATTCAATGTAAAAGTAAATTTTCATTTCATCAAATATTGGTAAAACATGACAAAATAAGTGATAAATTTTTCACAAATATTAAAAATTTTATCCAGCTGTTTTATTAACAATAAATAAAATTCACCAAAATTAAATAAATAAAATTTTTTACGCATGAAAGACTTTCCCAATTGACCTAATTATCCAAGCTTAATGAAAAATCATTGATAAGGAATCGTATATAACAACGACGGTGAAACTTCACAATCCAGTGTTCTAACTTTCTGTGAAAATTAATTCGTAAGCCTTGCTGTCAATTATTCTTCGTCAATTTGAATTTTATATATTTGTGTACTCAATTTTCAATTCATCATGGCAAAACCAGTACTTACGGTAAATATAATAAGTATAAAAGATTATGCTTGTTAAAATTAGTAACAAAATTAACCTCAATCAAAAAATGTTCTGATTTGTCTGATAGCAGAAAATTTATCAACGGGATATCTATGAAATTATCATTTCAAATTGCACGCCTCACAATGTAAGCCTTTTTTTTGGTCTCAAAATGTCTCAACTACAACCATATTGCACTTATAAAATAGTATGAGTAGTCATAAATGAAGGAAACATTCTAAATAATTAATCTTCTATTTAAAAAAAAATTATTTTATGTTGTTGTTTTGAAAAATTTTTACATTCTATTTTTTGTATGTAATTACGATAACTCCCAAAAAAATTGAATGAGCATTATGAGGCGTGAACTTTTGAACTTACCAAAATTTTTGAACAAAACTCTTCCATAAAAAATGTTTACAGTTCACCATCCATTATCTAATAGTGGTGGTTATAGTAATTTGCACAACTCTCGCGGACTATCAAGAAAAAGATCATAGTTCGAAGGACAAGCGTGCATCAAATAATGGCTCGCATGCGGAAAACCACACAATTGCCAACAAAAACGGATTACTTAGTGTTGCCAAAAACAATTTCTCGAGTAACAATAGTGATGTCTTCAATGACACTAAGGTCACCAAAGATAAGGATGGCGCCCATATAAGTAAAATCGCCGGAGATACTTTCGCTAATGAAAGCGTTTCAAACCAGACAAAATTAGTCAAGAATAAAGATGGCAGCACTATCATCGAAGAAAGCGTTAAGACAGTAGATACGAACCATACTGACGTTACCAAGACAGAAAAAGTTCTGAATGCAGATGGTGGGATCACTGATAAAGAAACTAAGATTAATAAATCCAAAAACAGAACAACTGATGACAAGACTCACCTTATTCAAAATAAGGATGGTACTGCCACTGTTGAGAGTGTTATCACAATTACCGACGACAACACGACTACTACCAACCAGACTGGTGTAACAAATAACAAATATGGTACCTCGATTATGGATCCTCATATTACAGTCGAACATGATAAGGAGACCACTGTTTACAAGACGGACGTCACCAAGAATAAGGATGGAACTACAACTGTTGATGAGTTTGTTATTATTACGACTAAATATAGCAAAATTATTCATCATATTGTCAAACGCAAATACGCCAATGGATACATTAAAATTATAACAGATACCGTCACTAGGAATTGTATTACCTACAACTGCAACCAGAAATTCTCAGGACCGTTACGAGATGCTTGTAATAAACATGTTCCTATTTAATTTATTTGAAGCTAAAATTTTGATATAGTGTAACTCAAAGAAGAAATTTAAGCGCAGTTAAATTATTATTGCTTGTTATAAAGTTTACTTTAATAAAGATAATTATAATAAAAATGTAATCAATTTTGGTAATTAATATGGCCAGGGTTTTCGCCTCAATTTAAAAATAACAATTATTAATTGATGGTGTCAAATTTTTGACATTACGGCGAAAATATTGGTCATGTAACACATTTTTTTGAATAAAAGTTATTCAAAATGTAATTTTATAAAAAAGATGTCTCTGATAATTTTTTTATACGACCATTGAAGAAGCCGCAATTTAAAGATTAAGATTTTTTCAATTAGTACAATTTTTAATCATCCATTGTGAATCTTAATTAAGAAATTACGGCGAAAATATTAGACGTAATAATAAAAAATACATTAATTTTTTAGGTAAGAAAAAAAAAATAGATTTTGAGAGCCCTTAATACATGCAAAGAGCCACATCCTGACAGCGAATAGTCTAAACAATTTCTCGGTCTGCTCGAAACCGCGAGTAATAACGTCCCGTGAATTACTTACAATTCCATTCAAAGCTATTAAATTGCCGGAGTTACTTTTTTAAAGCATTACAAGGATGGGCTGGGCTCCTTGTTGCGTGAAGTTCCCATATTACTAGCTCGTAGCCGCTTAATCGAAGCACCCTCTGTGACGGACCCTGATTGACCGAACCATTACCCCTTAACCCTCTCGGCCCCGCGACCCGCAGTTCGCTCAGTGACTTAAACTTTAACTTTAACACCAGTAATTCTTCCACATTGACTGTATTCACGTACATGCATACATGCAGAGCATGAAAGTCAAGAGGTAAGAGGTAAAGTTCCGAACAAGATAAAGATTCCTTGAATACTCATGACCCGGAGTCCATAGCCAGAGTCCACGGCCCCATGAAAACAATTAGAATACCTGCTTTGCCTCATTTAATTCCGTGGTAAGCGAGTCTGCACTCTACATTATCTAGCGTGCATGTGCGTTCGGCTCACATACTCACATATTAATCTACATCCTTCGAACAACCTACAGTTCATCAAGATCAAATATCAAACGATTAAGTGATTCAAAGTCAAGTTGACTCTCGGATAGTCTTTAACGGGACCGTTCAAGGTTTTTCTTTTTAATGGATAGAATTATTTAGTGGAGTAGCAAGTGACGAATTTATCTGGCCGTGTCATTAATCTCCTGGGTATGAGCATTCACTGGATGATGATGATGATAATTGATAATGATTTCATCGGTTGCCTTATACTGAGTCGTTTAAATGCAGCTGATGCCCTTGTTGGGTTTCCAGGGTCTTCTGGTGGACACAAACCAGTCGCGGACATCGACATATAAGTATCCGGAAGATATTTGTTATTGTTATTGGTAATGCATGCGGGTGCATTTATTTAATAGTCACTGACATTGCATAGTTGTTTTACTTTTTTTAAACAAACCTCGGTAATTTATTTGTTCGATGACGCTGAGTCTGTTGTCTCTTGGAGGTCAACATGCTTAATATAGTTTTCTGGCTCCAAGGGATGGTCACGAGAGTTAAATGTCTACAATATGTTAGGAGAATTGTGATTAGTCGTTCAAGAATTTATGATTTTTTAACTTCCCGCTAAGAAAATTGGAAATTTTCAAGAATCGGAAAGTTATTGGTTTTACGCCGTTTTTCGAAAATCGTATGTGTGTGTGTGTGTGTGTGTGTGTGTGTGTGTGGCCGTATGTAAACCTCTCATAACTTCTGAACAGCTCGACCAATTTCATCGTGGTTGGTGCCATTCGAAAGGGCTTGACTAAACTTAGATTTTGGATATACTTTTGACCGATTCAAACCAGTAACTTTTGAGAAATCTCAAAAAAACTGCAAAAAAAATTTTTTTGATGTGGTTTTTTTGGAATAACTTTTAAACGGCTTTACCGATCAATTTCAAAAACTAATCAGCTTTAAACATCAAAAAACCACGTCGATCGCCACCAGCCCGGTCAAAATCGGTTGATTCATTCGTGAGTTATCGTTGACGAAAGAAAACCGAAAAAAATGGTCTTTCGGAATTACATCGAAATTTCTACTTCGATCGATTGAAACTTAAAGATTCTTTATGAGGCCTGGAAAACTGCATCGAATGCCATCAACCGCGTGAAAATCGGTTCGTTCATTCAAAAGTTATTGCGGTTTGAAAATTCCAAAAATAGTGTTTTATTTAACCTCTACCAGACTTTTGAACTCAGAAAGCTCAAAATGACACAAAAAGTATATTATTGAACTCGAAGAGCTCAAAAACGTAATAAATGCAATTTTGAGCGCTTAAGTATGAAATTAGCGGCAAGTTTCAGGGATGGCCTTTAGGGTGAACCGTTTTTCTAATTTTTTCTTTTACAAACTCAAATTTTACTGTAAATTTAAAGGAATTGATTGAGAAATATTTCTCAAATTAGCAAAGTTTAAAAACAAAGTTCATAATTTTTATTTTCAAATTCAATTGAAAAATTAAATTTTTTGAGTTAAAAATTACTCAGACAATTTGACTGCTTCAAATTGTTTCCAATTAAATCTCTACGCTAAAAATAAAAAATTGGTGTTTAAAAATTCGTTTGAAAAGCGATAATATATCCATCAGCTGACAAGCAAACACCCAGATGACTTTCAAAAGATGCAGATAGAGTAAACTCGGATCATCTCCTTTGTGTTGAATTTTTTCGCGATCCGGCATTGATGAAAACTGTCGAGAAAATTAGCATACAATAAAATTCAACGTTTCCTCAGCTTGGATATGCGGGTAACAATCGTTAGTCATCGTAATAATTTCAATATGTTTATTCAATTATTTGTTTGTTTATTTTCCATCTACACCTACGTATCTCTGTTTTACAAAGAAAAGATCATTTCAAGGCCCCTTTATTCGCGGTTCTGCGCTCATCCCTTCTCACTTATTTAAACTTCAATCAGGACGAGGATGAGGGTTTTATGTGGCCTTGGTGCGGTTTCACGCTTGTATCTCACCAAATTAGTAATTCGCTTTCCAGATGAAAATAAGTGTTGGGAAAAAAAAAAAAATAAAAACGGTCAAGTATTAACTAACTGCGATGGTAACGAGCCATTGAATAACTGATTAAAACTAAAATTTGCTGACAAAATTAATAGAAGCATTTTTTTTAAAGATATCTCTATAAATAATAAAAATTGAATCAATTGAAAAAATATTATTTAAAAAAAATTTTTCCAATTCCGGGCTAATTTTGACAAATTAAAAAAACCATAATTTTTTAAGTTTTTAAGTAAAAAAAAATGATCTTATAAATTTCTTTTGGCTTAATAAAATTTAACTTGATTTAAGAATTTTTCTCTTCAATGAAAGGCAATTAAAATTATTTTTTTGATTTGAAAATTTTTATCTGGAATTAAATAAACTTTTTTTTAAATGTACAATTGAATTAATGATTACTTTATCTCCAATAAATATTTAAATTACCAGAAAAAAAAGTACTGTAATTAAATTCTAATTATTTGATTGTCTTCCTCAGTAAAAAAATGAAAATGGTGACTGATATCCATAACAGTAAACCGTAGAGTATTTATCATGAAAAAATCTATTATAATATAATGATTAACGTTTGAAAAGATGATTTGCGGAAGAGAAGAGAGAGATACAATGTAAATGCATGCATCGCGTCCTCGAGTCTTTTTAAAAGAGTCACCGGGGTCGGTACACATGGCCTGCCAACCAGATCGCAGGTCTGTGACCTTACGAGCGTTGCAATCGATGCCGCGATCTCAATCGTTCTCATTCTGGTCAGCGCTCTACTCGCTTGTGTATAATACCATACGGATGGTATATAGTAGCTCTGCTCGTGCAACGCTCTTACGCGCCCTTGGTCGGGCCTTGCCTCAACTACTATGCATCCAACTCAATAACAACAATCGTAACACTAAAAATGATAAACTCCTATCCGCTATCCAATAATATATTAATCTTATCCTTAATCTCCACTAATTGCAGTCATGGCCAAAGCTTCTTTCTAAACTAATGTTCTAAACATCCTGATCCCAATCCAGGATAATTTATTTATTGTTTATCATTGCAAGGTCTTAAGTCGCCTTCCAAATCTTATTTAGCAATCGTTTATGATAAAAATATGTTGTTTTTCTTTTTTATACCAGTGGATATATTTTTTTTTAATTATTAATACAGAAGCAGTAACCTGCAATTACTATATGACGAGATTTACGGACACTGTACATAGTTTGGGTACTTTTCAAATAAATTTTAAAAATGATAGTGATGCCATAGGATCAATTACAAATCATTTAATGGACAAATGTAACGGAACAAATTTATAGAACCTACAAGCTGTTAAAAACTCCCCCAAAAACTTAACATAAAAAATTGGCTGTCACTGAAAAATATATAAGATCGTAAAAAGGCACAAACTTTTGTCAAGAGCATTCTAATGAGACCGAATTTAACTAAAAATTCCTTTAAAAATAATAATATGCTCGTCACAAAATTTTCCTTACTCTCTTAATTATTTAAATCATAAATAACTATCGCTAAAAAATATCAAACTCAATTTACAATAAATATATGCCCGTTACTAAATTTTCCTTAGTCTCTTAATTATATAAATTAATTTTTGACGAACAACCACATTCGCGTGTACAAATCAAAATAAATAAATTAACAAATTTTGTTTATCACGAAATTCAAATCTATTTAAAGCTACTTCAAAAATTTATCATAATCAATTAACTATTTTAGAAAAGTATATCGACGTTCTAATTAGCAAATTGTCTAACTCCATTTTAGAGAATCCTCTGTTTGTACGAAAAAAACACAATTAGTTCAAAATTTATTATCACTTAAAAAAACCATTTAATATCATTATTATCTAATAGAGATATAATATTTAGGTTTGAATCATTCAAATAATTTATAATTGGATTATTGCTACATCAAAATGTTAAAAAATCACTCTCTAAAAAATAAGGAGTTAGACAAATTGCTAATTACACCGTCGATATGAAACATTAAAAAAGCACTAATTTAGGGCCAGACATTTTCAATGATACTAAATTTAATTTAAAAACTCGTTTTATTACATAAATATAACACAGAAAAAAAAATAACTTCAAGACAAAAAATTCTTGAATCAAGTAAAATCAACTTAAACCAAGAGAAATTTTTTAGTTTAAGAATTGAGGAGTTGAGTTTCAGAAGGGTATCTTTTCGTTTTTGATTAATCGAGACAAAAAATTGGTTATCTTCAATTATGAATATTTTTATTGAACTTTTTTAATTCAGCTATAAAGTGCTATCTGTTATGAATCTACAATTCTATTTTCATTTAGAAATCTTTTTAATTCTCGTAGTAATTAATATTTAAAAGTTCCAAAAACTGCTCTTTTGAAATATGAAAAGATACCTTTTTGAAAATCAGCTCCTCAATTTGTCTATTCAAATTAAGAAGATGAAGTTCTTCAAAATTATTTACATGATTTAAGTAAATTTTTTTTCTGTAAAGAGACAACATTTTTCTTATTCTATTAATTATATAGATAATTCACACCTTCTTATCGTTTGAATAATCACTCATAAATCAATGAACAAAAATAAAACATTAGTCCGACCCAATGAATCGAGACGACTTCTCTTAATTGAATGAAATCAGCATTGATAAATCCGGTGGCGAATTTAAATGCGCATAAGAGGTAATCCTAAGCTGTGGGAAATTTCAGGCTGTTCTGGAAGGCACAAGGTACAAGGTTGTGTCGTACAAATGTAAAGCAGGGATAGTGTCTAGTGCTTCAGAAAAAAATATATATATAGTGAAGCAGCGCGGTAGAAAAGAAGTAAAGCGAGGAGAGTGGAAAGGAAAGAACCAGATGAAAAATAACAATAATAAAAGAAAGGTGAGAAAATAAAAAAAATATAATAAGAGAAAAAGGATGGTTAGGTGTACAGTGTACCCACAATATATTGCAGAAAAGAATAAGAGTAAGAGGCAGAGATGAGAGAAAGGATGTACAGCATCAGCCGGAGGTTAATGCCGCGATCCGGTTCAAGGGGCAGCCTCTACTACACTCAGCTACTCGTGTGTTGGCTTAAAAACTCCTCTGGCTCGCCGCATTTGCTATTAAACACTCTCGTCAGTATTTTATACTCACACATATTTATACCCTCGCATGGGTTTATATATTTATATACTGGCAACAAGTACGAGAATTAAAAAATTCACCGGCTCGGTTGATTGAAACTCCATTGAACTCGCTAGTTTTTATTTCTATCAAGGTCCCAGATTCACTCGCTCTTCTGCGGAAAAATATGGACGTGAGTACGGAAAATATAAACATTGGAGTTTGCTTCAGATTATATAAAAGTAATTTGAAAATTTGTATTAATGAATAATAATAAAAGTAACTAACGCGCCCACGGGCCCCGAGGATATAATGGAAATTTTATGGTTTTATTCGCGATTCTACTGTGCCGACTCCTTGGTATGGTATCGAGTATAGCATGGCTCGAACTAAATTAATGGGTACACGGCATATGCTCCGATGCAGCTGCACTGGAGAGGAAGAAAAGAATAAGAAGGAAGTCAATGAGAGTTTAAGAGACCACTGGTAGATTTAGACGCCAATGCTAAGTGAGATATGTTTGTACTCAGAGGTGGAGGTTGAGCTAGAGGTAGATGAAGATGCAGCTTAAGATTATTATAGACATTCATCATAGAACGCTTGATGCTCACTTTCTACCGAGCTTCATGACCGGATTCTATTGATGTATTCGCTTGTGTTTGGATTTATTGCGCGATATATGGATCTTGTTGATTTAGTTTAATGTAATTTATCAATCTGTGGGATTGAGAAATAAGATTGGTTAGTTTTATAAAAGCTTTCAACTATAATTTGGAAATATATATCGGGAAAATTATTCACTTTAAATTGTGAATTTAGAAAAAAAATTTTTTTTAATTCAAAAATAATTTTGTGGTGTGATAATTTATTACACAGTAAAAAATTTTGCGTCAATGCGTCAAAAAATGTTGTGTTGAAAATTTTTATGTTAAATATTTAACACTTTTTTTTTGTGTTAATTTAACACAATAAATGTTAAATTTACATATATAAGTGTTAAATTTTTAACACAATTTTTTGACGTAATGACGCAAAATTTTTTGCTGTGTAAAATTGTTCATGTTTGATTTATTACTCAGAAGAATTAAAGGATTTATTTCAGAAAGTGATTGTTAATGTAAACTGGCGCCCCAAAAAAACTTCATTAAGATTTTTATAAGAATTTTATTAACAGGAAAAATCTAATCATAGAGTTATAACTCGAGTGACAATAATTATAATTATAATTATAATAAGTATAAGTCAGTGGGTAAACTGGATGTGAGTAATGGTAAAGTGCTGCTTACTAGCACAGCAAAGGTGAAAGATAAGTCAAAGCGGGAAGACGGGTTAAACGGTGTTAACTAAACTATTTAACAACATTTATGGATGAGCCAGAGTCTGAGTTGTGTCAAGGGCCTTCCTTCTCATCAGCCTTAATGACTAATGAGTTTATGACCCGTGTCAGTAAATTGAATGGTATTTAGTCATTGGCGGACGTGCTTGATAAATGCAATGCTCTGATGTTTATTGTGCTTTTATTTCTGTGTTGGTGGATGGATCATCTCGCTAATCAACGGCTCGCTTATGATTATTTTTTTCTTTATTATTATACTCAGAAGCCACGAATTTATCTACTTGTTAAAGTGTTAAAGTCCAATTGAGGTACCTAATTTCTTATAACTTATTATTCCAATAGCATTGCAGATTATCGGGCGTACTTCGGAAACTTCTCAGTGGCACAGTACACTAAAGTTAAATAATTTATCGCAAAGGCATACTTACGATTAAATTATAATGCTTAAAAGTTTTATAGGTTTCTTTGTAATTTTTAGAATCTCCGGGTGGAGCAACTAACTTGTTATTTTTTTATTTCCCTGCACCTATTACGTCATAAGTTTATTTTTCAAATACTGCTCCAAAATTGATTAT